ATAATATCAGCTATGTTCTCTGTTTGTGTAGAAAGTTTTTGAGGAATGCAATCTTTTCTCACTTGAAATATTTATGTCATTTATGAGTAGTCTTTATAGTAGAAAATGGAAAAATGGAGAAGAAAGTGTAGTGTTCAAACTATAGTGTTTGACACCAGTTATCAAAATCTGGCACTAAATCTGTCCTGGGTTATAGATCTGTGACTTCCACTCATTTTGGTATACAAGGCATGGCCCAACCTGGGTATGGAATCTATTAGCTATTGCTTGTAATCCATGGAAAATATTTTAGTGTTATGTGTTCTCCTTAAAAGTTAATTAATTGTTGCAAAATGAATAATGGGATTTATTAAATATGGTGGACCTGAACCTGCCAAACAGTTTGTGGTTTTGTGGGAATATACCAAAGGCAGTTATTGGTATTGTAATAAATGAGGATCTCTGCAAATTCCAGCTGTTGAACATATGATCATTACTTAGTAGGGCAAATGGCAATTTTTCATCTCCAGAGTACGTTCTGCTATTCATATGCCTACATAACTACAATGAACTATTAGTGGGAGTTACACACAGAGAAAAGAGACTGAGGAACTACATTTCTTTTCTCCTGCCTAAATGAAACTTTATCTGGTTGATATCCATCCAGAGTTAAACTTTCCATATCACATAAATTCTGTGTCTCTATTTTAATTCTATTTTGATAGGAGTCCTTCTTGATACATTTTTAATTAGGTGGAACATGGTTTTTGACCACATATTTTTGTGTAACTAATTTAATATTCAGCAAATAACATCTGCTTTATGCCTAATGCTATAACCTGTAAAAGCAAAAGAAAAGCACGAGGCACTGTACTTCTAGAATTTAAGTCTGGGTAGACAAATAAGATATATTTATCCAGAATCATAGATATATGGAGTGAGAAAGGACCCAGAAATGATGAAGTCTTGGACTTATATATTCAAACTCCAACTGAGAATTAATATAAACAAGTTACTTGGCCATCATGTCACATCAGAGGGTCCCTATTTCACGTTAAAAGACAATTGCTTTCCTTCTCAGTGGATCTGCCGCCATGCAGAAATGTAGGTCTCTTGTTGCCTAATCTACTTTTTTCTCAGAGAGGGTAGATTTCCAAGTTTTCCAGAAATTTCCCGATTTCTAAACATTGCCCACTAATTTGAGTTTCACTGAGGCCAAATGAAACACATCTGTGGGCCTTATTCAACTTGAAGGCTGCCATTTTGCAATCTACAGTCTAGACTAAGTGTTCCCATTTTGCAGATGTGGGGAGCAGCCTCTCCATAGCCTGGAATTGTTCTCCCAGACTCCCAGCCCAAAGCTTTTTGTCACTTAACTACACCTTCTCTCAACAAGAAAATAATCAGATGACTCAATAAGAAAAAAAAAATGGAGTTATATAGCAATTTGTTAAAAAATTTTTTAAAAAGTACAAGACAGTATCATGAAAACAATGGGGCAAATCTCATGGGGAGGAGGAATAAAAGAATGCTCATAGTAGGAAGAATTCAAGAAGGTTTTACAAGTGGCATTTGAGCTAGATTTTGAAGGAAGTGACTAATACAAATTGATTAAAAAAATAACAGTAAAGGGAATTAGGCAGGGGAGAAGAGAATGAAGAAAACACATAATCAAGAATTTGCAAATGGACATGTAAGACTATGTAGAGAATGACTTGGCTTAATCAGAGAGTAAAAATTATGTCACTATAATTCATTCAGCAAATATTTCTTGGGCTATATCTGTGTGCCGGGCACTATTGTCAGCCCCACAGATATAAGAGTGAACAAGAAAGCCAGGTCTGGGTTCTAGTGAACTTTTTTTTCTGGTGGCACAGATAAAAAAACAAGTGAAAAACAGTGTAAAGTATTATGAATAAAGCTAAGAGATGTGACAGTAGTATATGTGAAGGCACATTAGACAGGTTAGTTAGGGAAGACCTTTCTGAAGAGATAACATTTGCATTGGGTCTCAACTGGTGAGAAGAAGCCATTGTGCAATTACCTGGACTAAGAACTTTCAAGGCAGGGAAGAAAGCTAGTACAATGGGCCTTGAGTGGGAAGGAACAGAAAGAAATGTTAGCTGTATCAAGGATGATAGGAAGAAAAGGTCAGAAAGATTGGCAGATACTTATTAGCCTTTGGAAAGGAATCTGGAATGAAATGAGGTTTCCCACAGGGAAGCTACATAATTTGATTATAAATAGACCATTTCTGATAAGAAAGTAACATAATTTCATAATAAAAGGAGGTAGATAATGGAAGTTCTTGAATGGAAGCTGAGCTCACAAAATACAGTCAATCTTGGGGAAATGCTATAGATTCCAGTGCACAGAAGAACAGAGATAAAAATGGTGAATGAGAGTCTATTCTGTCTGCTGAATGCAGAATGGGTTGAAATCAGGAGTTCTGCATAAAGCTGTGGTTCAAGTCCAGGTATAAGGGAGGGTTAGGATTCAGTCAGGAATAATGGAAATGGACAATGAGTATCATGAACACTAAACAGAATGGATCCGTGTAAGGCAGAACAACCAGAGAAGAAAACTGTTGTGAAGAACTCTCAAGTTTCAGAGTTGGAGGCCACTTTGGAAACAGCCTTTATCAAGGATAAGATAGGAGACAATTTATCAAGACATTAACTCTCAGTGGATTATATGATATATATTATAAACAATTAGAAATACAAAATTAGAGAGGCCTTGAGGGTGACAACTCAGGGCAGTAGAGAGACTTAAAACTACTCTTCGTATCAATGGAAATTGAGGAAAACAGAGAAGCAGAATTCATAGATAGTAATAAGAGAAACAGGTCAAAAAACTAAATCCTGATTATATCCACAGCAAGGCCGAAAGGTACAGGATAACTAGGTGTTTGCTCTGTTTGCCTTCTTTCTTTTTTAGTTTGTTTATTTATTTTGAGAGAGACAGAGGCAGCAGGAGCCAGGGGGTGCAGAGAAAGAGGGAGAGAGAGAAGGAGTCCCAAGCAGGCTCTACACTGTCAGCACAGAGCCTGACATGGGGCTTGAATTCATGAAGCTGTGAGATCATGACCTGAGCCTAAACCAAGAGTCTGATGCATAACCAACTGGGCCAGCCAGGCGCCCCTGTTTTACTTTTCAAATTGATCTGTTCAAACAAGGGAAAGAAGAAGAACATAGCCCCTTCATCAACTCGAGTTAAAAAGAAAAAACAATTTAGAAGCAGGCAGTTGGGGTGCGCCGGGTGGCTCAGTTGGTTAAGTGCCTGACTCTTGATTTTTGGCTCAGGTCATGAACCCAGGGTGGTGGGATTGAGCCCCACGTTAGGCTCCACACTGAGCATGGAGCCTGCTTATGATTCTCTCTCTCTCTCTCTCTCTCTCTCTCTCTCTCTCTCCAGCTGGCACTCTCTCTCTAAACTAAAAATAATTTTTAAAAAGCAGGCAGTTTTTCTACATAAATGTAACAAATACTATGTTTTACTATAAGAACGTTTTTATTTGAAGCAAAATTTAAAGAAACATAAAACTTAGACTTACTTGGAAGGCTTCTAATTTTTACCTACTGTGATGATTAATATTTGAATGTAAACTTGAGTGTTTTCCTAGAACCTGCCACCTCTCTATAAAGTCTAGAAAGGCTAATGGTCTTGAACTTGAAAGCTCTGAGTCTCAAAACAAAACAAAACAAAATTTCAGGCAGAGTTTTAAACCAACCCTTTACTCTTTATGTAGCAAAGCATTAATTTTATCTTTCAACAAAAAATAAAACATTTTTTTGTATGCTCACATATTTATGGAGTGCCTATATACAAGAATGAAGATATGGTCCCTGCTCCCAGGGAGCTTTCAATTTCATCAACAAATAATAGAGTTTGGCAAGATGTCCAAGAGTAGAGGAAAAACTATCTTAGCAGAGCACAGAATAGGGGTGAAAGAATAGGCAGTTGTTTGTCTTGTGGGAAGCCCTCAGCAATTGTCAGTTCCTTTTAAAAAGAAGAATCAAGCTGAGTATAGAGAAAAGGATCAGGGACCAAGTCTGCCATTCAAAATGCCAAACTGTACCTTCCTTGAGGAAATTCTGAGAAAATTAGGCCATTTAGAAAAATTCAAAGGGACTTCTTTCAATTATTTTAAAAATGTTTCCAAATTCTGTTGTCATTTTGAGGAAAATTGCCACTGCTTTTATAAACATTAAACATGTACATCAGTGTTCATCATGAAAAATTCAAACCACGCACACGGTGTAAATATGAACATGAAGAAAAACCATCTCATTTTCTAGCACTTCATAATGATGTTATCACTATTAAGAGTAGGAAAACATTATCCAGATGCTTTCTTTCCATATACACACATAGATAGAAGGGTAAAAAAGGAGCAGGGAAATAGAGAAATACTGTCATAAAAGTCAAGTTCTGTATTGCTATTTTTAATAAAATATATTATATTTAGCTGTATCTGAGTTTCAATAGAAATGGAAAAAGGCAAAAATAGAAGGAAAAAAAGATGGATTAAAGTGTCAGAAAACACCTGAAGCCATTGGACTTTGGCCTCTAGGGTCATGCTGTTGTATACTAGGCATACTAATCTTTGTGATGTAGTAGGTGTTTATTAGCTTTGTTTATGTTATGTTAAGATACATGTTTAAAACGCTTCATTTGAGGTGTTACGTTTATTAACCTTCCATGTTTAATGCAATTTACTTAGATAAGAAAGCTTTCTATCATGAGGACATATTTTCTATTACTATACTGCTAAAAACTAACAAGGATAATGTTGGATAGGCAGTCCTCTGCATGGCTCTAAGGTGCATGAATAAGTGCCCCAATAACACAGTTCAAATTTTAGTTACCATGCTATATGGTCTCTTTACTGTTATTTGCATAAAGTATAAACTTTGCTCCTAGCACTTCAGTCCACAAACCACTACGTAAATAACAGATGTGAATCATGATCCATGACCAATCACTTCCTTGAAAGTCACCTCACATCTGTTCTTCAGTTCACCCGCAGACAGCCAAGTATACAGTTGCCTCCTTGTCTCCCACCGAGAAACCTTGCTGCCATTTTACAGAAATGGTTCATCAAAGGAGTGATTGACCAGCAAAGATGAAAGTGCAGCAGAGAAATGAAAAGTGAAACACCGGAAGCCATATCTGAATGCAGTGTAAATGGAGTTGGAGGAGAAATTGTTGGTCGTGGCAGAGTTGAAACCAGTGGAGTGTGGGCCCCTCTGTTTGTGCAGCCAGGCGCTTGGCAAAAGCCGACTTACTGACATCAGTGGGGCAGTGGCTGTGATGAAAAGGATGACGGTGTCCCCGAGGAAGTGACTCCGGAAAAATACTTCAAATTAAAGAAACCTGGACATATTTTATGACACTGAATGTGCAGAGGCTAAAGTGTTGGAAGTGAATCCAGATTTAGAAAGGAATAGGACAGTTTTGTCATAGAAGGCATAGAAAAGATGCAGTAAGTTATATGATGAGAAGAAAGCAAGTCCTGTTGGAACTCTTCTTGATGTTGTTTCACAAGGATGTAAAATACTTTAATTCTCAATAGTTTTAATGTATTAAATTCTAGCTTACTGAATGTTAGTTTTTACTTTGTTTCATTTCTCAATATATTTATAACTGACCTTAGAGAATTTTCAATGTTGTCACAAAAGTGCTTAAAGATCTTGAAATAATCCTAAATAAATCCCTATTGATTATTAAGATTACTTTGTGTGGGTTTAGCTTGCATAGGTCATTTTCATGGTCCTACATTGCCATGTAAAGTGAGGTCTGCCTGTACTTAATTAATCATGCAGATTAGCCCTGACATACGTTTTGCCCCCATTTTGTATATTTTGACTCCAACTGGATTTTAAACCGCTTAATTACAGAAATACGGCAAGGCAAATCCTTTACTTCTATATTGCCTTCTCCATCTAGCATAGCATTAAACATTTGGCAAAGGCTTAAATGGTCCTTGTTGGTTTACTGCTTAGCTAGTCTTATGTGGAACAATAGGGTTTTTATTAGGTGTCAAGTCATAATAATAAATGTTATTCCTTTCATTAGAATGTAAGCTTTACCCATTTTACTTTCCACTGTAAGGGCAACAAAGCATGACTCACAGATCGTATTCTACTGGCTTCAGGTTGCATTGTTCCTTTGGATGATGATACAAATGGTGGCCTGTGGATCTGCTTTGTGCACAACCTGCACCATCCTCCAGGCAGCCCTGATGTCCACCCTCAGCACCTGGAAGAATACCTAATATGCCAAAGGCATGTGATAAATATTTATGGAATTAATTTAATTCATAATAATTACTAGGCCTGTATACTGCATATTATTTTATACCAGGTGTTTTATGTACATTGTCTCATTTTACCTTTACAATAATCCTGGGGCCCCCATTTTGTAGATGAGAAAAGCTTGGGGTGGAGATTAAGTGACTCACCCAGCCAGGGCATGCTAGAGCTGGGATTTGAATCTGGGGGCTGTTTGACTCTAGTGTGCCTTGGTCACTACACGGATAATAAATTGACATTAGTGACACCAAATGGTGTGCAAATGGATTAGAGAGAAAAAGATGATGCAATTAAAAAGCTCTTCAAATTCATTTCCTGTCTATCACAGGCCTACTGTGACAAGGCAAGTACTTCTCATCAAACTTATTTTTGCATTACTTTACATTTATAATTTCTCTCATGCTATTCTTTTTTTAAACACCAATTTTTAAAAAAGAATCACAAAAAAGCATTTCCCATAATATTAGCTTAAAGCAGAAATGGCTCCAAATTGTATTATGATTATTTAAAATAATCTAAATTTACAAATCCCTTCGTGAAACTATCTTGGTCTATTAAAGAATGTGTGTGTGAGTGTGTGAGTGCATGTAACACATCTTACATTTTAAGAAGTTCATGTTTTAAAAAATCATTTGGTTTTCTGCTTTGGCATTTCCCTACAATAACACTTTATTTGTACTTCTTGGCTAATAAACTATTGATTGCAGGGGGAGGGCATAGTGCAGCACTGCACACACTATACATTTCTTACTCTGGTAGCACACATCGGACCCACCACAGCAAACTTTTCATGAGGAAAGGTCATATAGCACGTGAGAACTGAAGAAGTCATCGTGGCCATCAGAGACTGATGTAACTGGCAAGCCCACTGTTGTTGGAGGGCTCTTAGCACCGTCACCTTGGCAAATACCTGTTTTCTTTCTCCTTGTATATAATAAAATACTCTTTTGACTCCTCTTCCCGTGAATAGGTGTATATATGTCATTTGGTGAGAAGAGTTCGTTTGAATCCACTGCTAGACAGAATATAGCTTACGATCTAATATCTCTTGGTCCCTGTCTCTCTGTGTCTGTGTTTCTTGCTTTCTCTCCATGACCCCCACACTTCTTTCCATTTTCTCTCCCTAGGATTCTGTGCTAAAACTGCTTTTTAAACCCAGGCATTTAGGATTTGATATCTGCTCTACATTTAGACATCTTGCTGTGTGCTATTCACAATGCCCTTTTATGGTAGTTTACTTTCCCTTTCTTCAAATCTTCATACTTTTCTTCCTTTGTCTTTAAACTAGAAGATCTGTTACCTTCAATTGCATCTAATAAATGCCCAGTGAAGGTGGTACTGTGTGTGGGACCTGAAACAAATAGTGCTATCAGCGGTGGTCAGTTAGTGAGGCTTTTCTGTTGACATTCTCTCAGATACCTTGTTCTCCTTTGGACTTTAACTACATTGCCTCTGTGCAGACTCAGTTGTTCAACAATTATTTATTGGGGACCACCTATGTGCCAGGCCTCTAGATATGATGGTGAATAGGACAAATATTCATCTTACCTTTACTGAGCTTACATTTTAGAAGAGGGGACATTTCATTTATTTATTTATTTATTTATTTATTTTTATTTTAAATTTTAATTAATTTAATTTTTAATGTTTATTTTTAAGAGAGAGAGAGAGAGAATGAGACAGAAACTGAAGCAGGCTGCAGGCTCTGTGCTGACAGCTCAGAGCCTGATAGGGGGCTCAAACACATGAACCATGAGAACATGACCTGAGATAAAGTCAGATGCTTAACCCACTGAGCCACTCAGGCACCCCTATTTACTGTTTTTTAAAATGTCCTCTGCTTGGAGCATCTGGTTGTCTCAGTGGGTTAAGCATTTGACTTTGGCTCAGGTTGTGGTCTCACAGTTTGTGGGTTCAAGCCCCATGTCAAGCTCTGTACTGACAGCTCGGAGCCTGGAACCTGTTTCAGATTCTATGTCTCCCTCCCTTTCTACCCCTCCCCTGCTCATGCTCTGTCTCTATCTGTCTCTCAGTAATACATGAATGTTTTAAAATCTTTAAAAAAAAAACTAAAATAAAAAATGGGAAATAAAAGGATATGTAATAAAAATATGGTGTAGAGGAAACTACAAAAAAGAAAACTTTAACTCTCTTATTTCTATAACTAGGACTTGAAAATTAAGCTGACAGATGAAAGATTAAAGAGGAGAAAATAGAGCGCTTGGGTGGTTGGTTAAGTGTTGGACTTTGTCTCAGGTCATGATTTTGAAGTTTATGGGTTTGAACCCTGAGTGGGACCCTGATCTGACAGCTCAGAGCCTGGAGCCTGCTTTGGATTTTGTCTCTCCCTTTTCTCTGCCCCTCCGCATCACATGATCTCTCTCTCTCTCTCTCTCTCTCTTAAGAATAAACTTTAAAAAAATTTAAAGAGGGGAAAGTGTATGCATTTTATTTGATGTTAGTATTTTTACATGGCACAGAGGACTCCACAGGAAAGAGGCAAAACCCCCAAAGAAGTACTTAGATGTGGGAGCTTTTATGCCATTTTAGCAAAAGGTGATATTGTGAAAAAGTATCTAGGCAAAGAGGGGGCAGTTTGGGCCTCCAGGGGTGGTAAATTTTGGGAAAGTGACTAGGAAATGTATGAGGGAAACAAATGGAAGATAAGGATTATTTTAATAAGATTTGTTTATGCAGGCTCAACTTGGCATCAACTCCCATCTCCAATGATAAGAATTTTCGATTCTTTTGGTACAGGAGGCCATCTTTCTCATGGGAAATTTATACCCCGTTTTTAGGTAGAAAGGGGAAAGGGCAGAAGACTCTTCCCATATCTGCTGTTTTTCAATTGCCTTCAGCTCATAATAATCAGTATGCCAAAACAGCACAGTCAGGGGTGCATTTTCTGATGCCCTCACTATGAAGGCAATAAATAGGTACTATGATGGGGTGGGGATATATACTAGTTTAAATAGAATGGTTAGGGCAGATATTTCCTAGGAAATGCATTTGCTCTGAGAACTGACAGATGATATCTTGGACAGTCAATTCAAGATCCCAAGAAAGTAGTTTGTAAGTAGAAGGAATAGCATTGCTACTCTTCGGCAGCAGTGAGCCAGCCTGTCCTGCTAATGAACAGAAAAAAGGCTAGAGGGAGTGCAGAGAAGTGATCCAGGATAGGTGGAAGAGCTGAGCACAGCAATGAGTCAGGATCTGGCTCCTCTGGGGCCTCTGTGGGCCTTAGGAAGGAATTTGCATCTTATTCTAAAAGTAACGGGGAACCACTGGAGGACTTAAACAGGAGAGTGGCATCGCTGGTGTATTTTTAAAAGCTCACTAAGAATATGTATGGAGAACAGATCTTAGGAGGTGAGTTGGTTAATACAGTAAGTCTGGTTGGGAGGCAAACACAGTAGTCCGTGCGAGGTAATGGCAGCTTGGCCTAGATGGTGACAATAGAAGTGGGAAAAAGTGAACCGACTTGGAATCCAATTTGGAAGGAGTACTACCAGGACTTGCTGATGAAATTGAGGAGATAGATATGGGAGAAAGGGGAAAGGAAGGAGTAAGAAATCGCTCTTAAGACTTTGGCTTGAGCACTGCGGTGTGTTCACCGAGATAGGGAAGGCCAGGGAGGAACTGGCTCTGGATGAGAAATGAAGAATGCTACTGGTGTGTGCTCCATAAGAGATGCCTATGAGATACCCCAGGAGGGGTGTGTAGGGCTTAGAGTTCGGGGGAGGTCTGCATCTCTTGGCACTAGGTTTGGAGAAAAGTTTATAAAACAAATCATTTAAGAGAAATGACAGTACATGTATCTTGAAATTAGAATTATACTTTCATTTACTAATGTTCAGGTCAACTGCCTCAGTTTGGAAAGCAAATGGCTAGTAGCAGCAGGTTGACATGAGGGGACCTTTTTGACACATGCCATCAAATCAAATCAAATGCTTCAGTGTGGGATTCTCAAACTGTGTATTTGGGAATGTTGCAAACAGTTTCCCAGTGGATTCTGAGGTTAGACTGACTGGATTTAAACCCCCACGCCATCATTTACTAAGTTTATGATTATAACAAGTTATTTAAATCTCTCATCAGGTTTTGTGTGTGTAAAGTGGAGACAATACCAACCTTACAGGGCTGATTTCATCAGTGGCCTCACATGGCTACTGGATTTTATGTGAAGCGAGATGAGAGCAGGGAAGGTTTATTTGTCTGTGGCTCCCAAAGCTGGCCTAGATCTGAGCTGGATTCGCCCAAGGGGCACTGGTGCAGT